GGAAGAATTCCTACCCGTAACATTATTTTGAGGTGGGTGGAAAACTTCAGTAACACCGGCAGTGTTTGTGATTGTTTTGCTGGTAGTGCACGAACAGTCAGCACACCAGAGAATATTGCGAGGGTTAGGGAAGCGGTGCAGCAGAGTCCAACTTGCTCTGCTAGGCGTCAATCAGCTGCATTACACCTATCAGACAGGAGTGTTCACCGTATTCTGCATGAGGACCTCAAATTTCATCCCTACAAAATTACATTTGTGCAGAGCACACACAGCTCGTGAATCGATGAACTGTCTGCGAGCCATGTTTTCCGGACACATCATTTCCCGATTTGGAGACGTCGCCTGGCCGCCTAGGTCCCCTGATCTAACAGCTGCCGGTTACTTCCTATGGGTATATTTGAAGTCTAGAGTGTATGTTAACAAACCACGCACCATCATGGAGTTAAAACAATGCATCACTGAAGAAATTCGAGCTTTATTGCTACGAGTTATGGGCAATTTCCGGTCTAGATTACAAGAACGTATTCGTTGTCATGGAGGCCACTTGACAAATGTTATTAAGAAATAAGCAGAGATTAATAAATTGCATTGTTCTGCTGTTTTTAAAGTGAAAGTGTTTTATTTTAATTCGACCCGAGTTTGCCACAATAGCGCTCTGAAAACCGTCACATTCCACTGCCGCACCCTGTACATTAAGTTGGCATTAAAACTGTTTCCTATTACTTCAAACTTAAATACCTGACAACATGCTAATATTGATTTATGGCTTCTCATAAAGACTTCAGAGCAATGTGAACCAGATCTAGTAATTGCATGGAATCACAATATGTAAATACCTTCAAAGTGCATGCATATCAAGTATAATAAAGCAGTGAAAACACCTATCTGTATATCAATTAAATCTTTTTTATCAGGGTGACATGTTTTTATCTCACTGGATTATCCTCAGGCTCTAGACACAGATTTCTTACTCTGGTTTGAGATTGTCAAAAAGTTTATATCAAAATAGGGGTTTGGGGGAGGAAGAGGGAGAGCCATAATACTAAAATTGTTGTTTTGAATTTATCAGTCAAATTGATTAAAACATTTTGAGAAATATTAGAAACATTGGCTAATGCAATTATAAGCAAGAGACTGTGTATAAAACCTTAATACTACATCTGCCTGCTGTCTCCTGGGTGTCAAGTGATACAGGCATACACATATATAAAAAAATCCAATGACTTTACTCAACACAATATAATGCACCCATCTGATACAACCACTCTAAAATAATACATATGGTGCATACACAGACTCAAAATAATAACTAAAAATGGAACAAATCAGTATTTAAATACATATGTGCATGTTTTATATCGATTCTCTTGCTTATAACTTCATTAGCCAATATATATAATAATTTTCAAAATTGTTTTAATCTATTTGACTAATACATTCAAACGTTCTACAGATTTAATTTTTTCTTTCTATTTTGTGATATAAACTTTCAGACAATCTCAAACCATATGTAATTCTGCTTCAGATTAAGAAATGTATCTGTAGGACCTGAAGATAATCCAGTGAGATCAAAACATATTCCCCAAGCAATAAAAACTGTTTACTGATAATAAGAATCTCTACTTCCTTATATTTGATTATAACCACAATGGAATGCATGTACACTGCTCAAAAATACTAATTTTTAAGATTCCTCACAATATATAATGGAAAACTTCAACTTGTCATTTCCATAATTTAATTATTTTAATTATGAATATGCATACCATTTTGCAATTTCTTAAAAAAAATCAGAACTTACTGCACTGGTAATGGAAAACATTATATACATATAAGACCTACTAAATTACAATCAAACTGATGGACTAATATCAAAGATCACACTTAATGACTGCAAATGCTCAACAGTGAAAAGCAATATTGTGCCTACACGTTAATTCAGACTGAACTGTCCAAACAACTGAATGGATCCATCTCCCTGCAGAATCTTTATGTATGAAACTTGGTTTTAATTCTTTTACATTTACATTTCAATTGTTTATTTTTCAATACAGAATGGTGAAGGTCCGATAGCTCGCTGAATAAAGTCACGCTTCTATTCTTATAACTCTATATCATTTTTAAGCACTCCATATTATATAAATAATTATGTGAATGGTTATGAATCAAAAAGGAAAAGTGGTATATCCCATAGGCAAGTTCATCCATTTTGATGCTCATGTGCATTTAAATCTGTGTACACCAAGTATTAGCCGTATTGGTTCATTCTTCATAGTCACAATTCAATACAGACAAAATTTGGAAAGAATCCTATTTGTCATCTGATTATCTCTACAGTGTACAGAAATCAAGAATGGCTACGAATCTGAAAAGGAAAATTCCAGAACAAGGAAATTACATGTCAACACATCTTAGACTGTGATTCTGATGTGAATCAGTCAGATTAGGAAGAGACTGCTGAACACAAAGACTGCAAAAAACATAAGCCACAATAGACGGGTGAGCTTCTACACTTGTAATTTATGTTTGTCTGGAGACAACAGGAAGACAATCGTGTGGTGTACAGTGTCAGTGTTACGACATAAGCAACTCTCCAATCGAGTTTTTCTCCCAGTACAAATGTGACAATCTTCTAAGCTCTCACATAATTTTTTTAAGCCCAAGAGATTAAACTCCCATTCCCTTGAGTATACAGTCAGATGTGTGCAGTAATACTTAAACCCTGTTGTTTCATAAGAACAGAGTGAACACCTATTTTTTGAGCACTTTCAACTATTTAACAGAAACTAAATGGCATACAGAAATTAAACTTAGACCACTGTAAAGAGAATTTCAAAATCTTGTTTGTAGCATGCAGAAGTGCTGCTCCAATGATGGCCACTAGAAGTTCAAATCTATAAAATATGTGACCATTATTCAACCAGGCTTTGTGAAGGAATTCTCATAAAAACCCTTTGTGAATTACACATGCTTTCTCAGGTTAAGTTGCCATTTTACTGCCATGTCAACATTTATGCTCCTAGTGGTCATCACTGGAGTTACTCTTCTTCCACCTACTACAAGAAGTTTTCTATGGTGAATAATATTTTAATTTATAAAATATAGCAAAGTTGCATGATACAATAAAGTGCTACCATTTCGTGTACTGAAGGTTGTTATTTGTAATACCTTGAAAATCTGAAGAGACCTCAATACTGCACTTTCTGGTTCTCTAAAATAAGCTCCTGAGCAGGTTAGCTCATGATTTCATGAATTTGCATTCATGAGGTACCTGGTTCAAATCTAATTTACAATAACATACTCATAGTTTCCTCATCCTACCAGATGAAGGGGAACATTTATTAGGAAGAAAAAAAAACAGTATTTATTCTATTGGAGCAAGGATCCTTAAATAATTTTATTTAACATAGAAAAGTGTCTGGCTAATGGAACCTGCAAATATGTAGTTTTAAAATTCTTGTGGCATGGAATAAAATGTACAGTACATGCCTGATTCTCTAGGTTGGTTGGGAAATATATTTTCCCAAATAATCTGCAAAAATAAAAGGAAAACACACAAATGTAATAAATATGTAGGTTTACTTATAGATATGCATTACATTTTTTAAAATTTACTAATAATAAAGGATTTTGAATAAAATTTAGTACAGTATTCAACAATTTTTTTAAAAAAGGATTCCAGTGGATAGTAATAATGTTTTATTGTTGTAAACTTCAGGTTTTAACAACAATTTGTTGATATGTTAAACAAATTAACATTTGAACATACACTGTATGTCTAGTTCCTGCAAGAAGTGGCATGTCTTCATTTAAAAGTGGCATTTGCATATTTCTGTAGTGGCTAAAATACAGTAATCATAAACTCTGTATTCTGATATCTTGGCTAGAAAACAAAGAGCCTATTAATATACAGAAGAGTTTGTCAGTTGAAGTTAAAAGTCTGTACTACTTAGAATTTCCTTCTATTTGAAAAGACTGGGGGATACCATCAGTATTGCAGTGGTACACATGGTATTTGAAACTGGCAACTCAATGCAAATGGACTGCATTATCAGCTAAGAGGGTCCCTCAGAATGGCGGAAAGGGTGATATTGCTATTGATTAGGGTGATTCAGATTTGCAAAATCATATACTAAAGAACCACAAACAATGCAATTAGATGCATGTACAATACACTCACTGTATAACAAATATAAAAATCACTTATCTATTTTTAAAAAAGAAAAGTATACAATAAATATTTGGAAATCAGGAGTTTGTTTGGACAGTCCAGTCTGGCTACAAATTCAGATACTGTGTTCTTCATTGCTGAGTACTTCTTAAGATATTAATTGGGTTATTTCCAAACAGTATGTGTCATTCAGTGAATTATATATATATATTTTTATTTTGTTCTATCTCAATTCAGTAAGTCATGACACATGGTTCAAATTTAAATCTTATACAAATTATATCATACCAAACTATGCATAATGTAAACATTAACAACAATCTTAGGGAAGTAACACAAGTTCAAGTTTTCCATTATATTTTCTAAGGAATCCTAAAATTAATACCAACACATATACATTCTTTTACATGTTTTTTAACATCAATTCAGTAAGTTGTCATATTTTTCTTTGCAGAATTATACCATACTGGAGAATGTAAAAATTAAAAACTTAAATGACAAAAGATGAGGTTTTTCATTATGTATTTTATGGAATCTTAAAATTCATACATTTAACTTGCAATTGGAAAGTAATATTTTCATAGTAAGACTCAGCATGAAAGAAAATAAAATAACAGTGACTTATGCTCAGCTTATTCACCGTTGCCAACTTTATTTATGAGCTCATCACAAATGGAAGCAAGCTCTTGATTTTCCTTTACTTTCTGTTCTAACATTTCTTCCAGTGAGCTTGTCTTTACTTCTGCTTTCTTTAGCATTGCTTTCAGCTTGGCAGTCTCTGCTTGTTGACTACGATGAACAGAATCCAATTCTTGGTTTGCACTGTAAAGAATTATACAAATTGGAGTCTTATTGTAATGGATGAAGCCACATTAATTAATGCAAAGGCCATGCATACTCCTGCACAGCATAAGGCGTGGGGGGAAACAAGTATCCCTCAGGCATCCACAAGACTTGTGCAGCATTGTACTTTCATGAACATAATGTTTTGTTTTAACAGCTGCCATAATTCAATGTTGTAATCTGTGAGCATTGCCCACTAACTTCACCAACTGCGCTTTTTATTTACCTCCAGAGATAAAAGTCCAAGGGTGTTAAATGTGTGTACTCACGAGGGTATAAAATAACGTCAGTGCTCCCCATCCAAATAACCTGATTTTTTTTTATTTCGAGCAGTTAGAACAAAGTTGCTAAAATGGGAAGTTCTATCATCTTGCTGGAAAACAGCACCCCCATCCAGCTGTGGGTTGGGAGTGAGAGAGAGAGAGTTTAAATGTTCTTTTAATATTAGCAACAAATTTAAAATCTATGAGCCATAATAGCAGTTTCCCCTGTAGAATGGAAAAAGAGAAAGCTGTTTTGCAACAAGTGATGTACTATCTCATATCTTACCAACTCTGCTTGTAAAGTTTCCAGGTTTTTGGATAGGGGATAGGTGGCCCTATTTCATAGCCTGATATGTCCCCAAGACTTAATAACCCTTTGAGTATTTCCTGGGCATACAAAAAAGTGCCACATTTGATGAGGGGTGCTGAAGCATGAAAGCACAGGATTAAGATGATTATGACAGCTGCAGAAACCAAAATATAAATACTAAAATGTGTTTGGGTTGAAACAGAATTTTGTCCTGACATGTATCACATCTTTCTATAACACACTGAATGGGACACCTGTATTATAAACAGGCCTCAACAAATTTTCTGTAAATGTTAAGATGCCAAGCCAAGAATAACAAACAGGATTGGAAATATATTATTTTTAGTCAGTAGTCTATGTGGGAGCAGAGAAGAACTGCCACCCTGTCTCCAGTGGATATTAATTCAAAGGCCTGGTCCTTCAGGGTGGTGGTTGGGTATAGGGTCAACAACCCCACTCCATAAAGAAACAATTTGTTATGAAACTCAAGAAAGCGACAGCTAAAATGACCTACTGAAGACAGAATGGCAAATGATCAAAGGATATGAAAATTGGATCATGGAATATACTATTCTTATACTGACACAGAGCGAGGACCCAAATTGTGGTGGGGAAGAGAGTGTACCAAGACATCAAGCTTTTAGAAGAGAAGAACTGAAAGATCTTGGAACTTAATGGACAAGACTGGAAGAAGCTTTTGAAGAAGGCCAGGGCTAACACAGGGTCGTCAAGCCAAAGATGATGAGGAGTTAAAAGATACATCCTGCTATCATCAAAGCATTTGCTACGGACAGTGATAAATACTTTTCTGCAAACTGATGAGTTTAAATAATAAATCACCTTTCCAGCTGAGACATGGCATGGGACTTAAGCACATCATACTTCTGCTCCTGCTTGCGAATGGTGGCTTCATACTCAGCAAGACTCACTCGGAGTACCTCCTCATTCTTCTTAAAACCTTCAATTACTGTTTTACTTCTCTCATATTTTCTGTAAACAACACAAAGGACAATGAGGTATGTAACAGCCCTCTAGACAATAGTAATCATTAAATATATACTTTATGAATTAGAGTAACCATTGTATGTTTTAATGTTCAAAAAATATTCTTTGGGTGGTATTTGTTTTCCATTTCAAATGTAATTTATAATCTAAGATGAGATGTTATAGTGCTATACTCCTTATATCATATATAGTAAAAAGTTACAGCAGTACTAGCACGATAATTTGCTAGACACTGCCACTTTTCTCGTCTCCTTCATTACCACTTCCCTCCACTCTGGAAACATGCCCGTTTGCTGTCATGTCAATGTAGCAACATAACCATAACATTTTACTTCTGATAATGTAATGACTGTATCACTGCAACAGTTCATCCTATGTAAAATATTCCAGCAATTGAGAATGGAAACACATGAATTGCAAAGCAACTTTTCCCTCTTTATACAGAGTGATTCAAAAAGGACTTTACAACTTTGAAAGTGTATCAAAATTTATTCAGGCTTACATAATCGGTTGAGGTGTCATTTTGTAGCAAAACGAATCAAGTTTTACCTCAAACAGTCATTTTGGTTCGATGTGATTGCCATTGGTGATACTGCAGACATCCCACCTGAAATCAATTTCTTGCCAAACACGATCCAGCATATCCGGTGTCACTTCTGCAACTGCGGCAGTGATTCGAGCTTTGAGCTCAGTGAGATTGGCAGGTAAGGGTGGAACATACACACGATCTTTAATGAAACCCCATAAGAAAAAATCGAGAGGTGTCAAATCTGGAGAACAAGGTGGCCATGCCATCGACCCTGTTCGACCAATCCACCGACCTGGGAAACGGTTATTCAGGAAATCCCGGACTTCTGTGAGGTAGTGAGGTGGTGCGCCGTCTTGCTGTAAGTGAATGCGTCCTTTTTGGTCATCTTCGTCTAACTGAGGTATGAGAAAATTTTCGAGCATATCCAGATACATGATACTGTTGATGGTTCTCTCATGGAAAAAGAACGGGCCGTACACTTTAACTTTGCTAAGGGCACAAAACACATTCACCTTTGGGCTGTCACGAATGTGTTCCACAACAGCACTAGAAACACGCGGGCAACCTGGAGATTTGTCATGGCGAACAGAACAACCAGTCTCAACAAAATTCTTGTGCCAAGAGTAAATTGTAGGTCTACTGGGAGGATCCTTGTCATACTGGGTGCGAAAATTTCGTTGAACCATTGTCGCAGATTTCGTTTCTTCAAACACACAGCGAGCGCGCTCCGCACCTGTGAAAGTAGCCATTTTCAAATGCACTGCCGCTTGCGCTCGCGGTGACGGAATTCGGTACTACAGCACAACGTGAGTCAAACTTGGTTTGTTTTGCTACAAAATGACACCTCAACCAATTCTGTAAGCTTTCTGATTAAATTTCTATACACTTTCAAAGTTGTAAAGTCCTTTTTGAATCACCTGGTTTATTTCTGTATCTTTCCAAATAAAAGTTCTCCTATGACCCTGGACAAAGCCAGGACAAAATAAGTTTGTCACCTGCAATGCATGCTTTTTCTTTAAGTGACTTTTATTGTGTACTGCCGATTGCTTGTAACATCCATATTAGCACACTAAACAAGAGACAATCTTCACAAACTTTATGATTCAAAGTTGTGTTCTAGCATTTGTGTACCATTTGAAGATGATATTGTAAAGATCAAAACATGTAGTGGTTGTTCCCAATTCATAAAACATACATTTAACAATTGTGTAGATAGCCATCACATATGTTACAAACCATACACAACAGAATGCTTCATTTTAAGAGTACAAAGGACAATTTCATTGAGATAAACTACAAAATATTATAATGAACACCAATTTGTAAGTTCCACCAGTTACTACCTGGTGAGTCACATGACTGGTATTTTAACTTCATGTACCATCACCTCTCAACATCTCCCATGTGGCAGCAGCATACTGTATCTCATAACAAAACAAGACATCATATATCAGGTGAATTTATGAATAAATTATATTCAGGGGCTTGTAAGACAGGAGTTTCAACAGATAAGTCTTTACAAATTTCTGAGATTTCACTTATACCATATTTACAGAATAAAAGTCACACCTGCCTTTTAACAAGAAAATAAAAGTTATAAGAAAGGATAAATGAAATCTCATTTATAAAATTTATCAAAGTTTCAGTGTTCCAAAGCAGATTATCATCTAGCAAAAGCTTACTTATGAAGGTCAGAAAATGCTATTTCTATGTTAGCAAGATGGCCCATTGCAGCGTCCCGGTCCTTGAGCAAAGCCGACTTGTCCAGCTCATGTGCTTGCCGCTCTTGCTCCTTCTCTGCGACAAGCCTTGATATTGTCTTCTCATATTCCTCCATGATGATGCTGAACAAGGCAAAAAGATATCATGATAATTCATCAACATCTAAAGCATCAGTGCTCTTCACTTTTATTTAATATTTATATAATGCACAAACAACTGGTATCAGATAATAGCAAGTATCTGTTCATGCACCAGCCATAGATCATATGCATGGGTTGCAGAATAAAAAACTTATGGTGTGAAAGCATCATGTAACTTGTCCACAGTCTAGTATCGTACTCCAGGAGGCAAACACAAAAAGGGTTAGTCGGTATCACATTTTCAATGATACAAAAATAATTTCAGTACCGAAGTTCTTCAACATTCAAGAGATTCTCAATTTAATAGTCAAATACACTCTGTGTGTGTGTGTGTGTGGGGGGGGGGCAATGGTGGTAGTGAGTAAAACTTAAAATGGGAATTTTACTGTAATTAAATTAGAATGTCAAGTGAGAAGAAGCAAACTTCTAAGCGAAACAGAATATATTTGAAATTCCTATAAACAGGTATAGTATAGTGAGTGAATATGCTAACAGCATCTTCTGAACAAAGGGAGATGTAACGTTACAAATTACCTCTTCAGATGCAAAGCCTTACCTCCTGGATTCAGCATTGTAAGTACCTGGGAAACATATCTAGTTTTTTGTACTCCCTCCCAACGATGCTTCTGATATAAATTACATACTCATCGTACTTCACTAA